CACCCCTGCCCCCCTGACAGCCCCCCCCACGAATCCCCGACCCATCCAACCCCCCCTGCTCCCTGTCCCCTGACTGCGCCCCTTCTCCAACTCCCCAGCCCCCTTACCGTGCCGCTCAGCTTAGAGCAGGTGTCAGGTTCCGCGCCCCAAGGAGCGCCCCGCCCAACCCGAGCGCTGCCGAGCGGCATGCTGAGGCTGTGGAGGAGGAGGGAAGTGGGGGAGGGGCTCTGGCTGCCGCTGCCAGCGCCACCACCGTGTTCCCTCACAGGCACACAGCCCCGCCCCCCAGCGCTGCCGAGTGGCGTGCTAAGGCTGCAGGGGATGGGGAGAGCTGGGAAGGGGCTTTGGCTGCCGAGGCCCCAATGCGAGCGGCACTCGGCTGCCCTGTCAGCCGCTTTTCGGTCGATAAATAGGCGACCTGGGGGGGAAATCCCGGACATTTTTAGATTTCTAGAAATCCCTACAGCTATTTAAAGAGCGAAAAGCCAGACATGTCCGGGGAAACCCGGACATATGGTAGCCCTAGTGTAAATATAAACTCTGTGTTATAGCAAAACCCTCAAATTAAAACTAACAAAACAAAGACATTTTCTAGTTTTGCTAAGGACACTAAAAGACTTTATAATGTCCAGGGTGATGTTACTAAATATCAGCGAGATCTGAAATCCTATCCTTGATAAAAATGGCCATAACATGTATCTTTTTCAGCACACATAAATAATAATTAGGTTAAATTCATAAGTAGTTTATAAAGAGTTAATAAGTGAATAGATATTTTAATAAATGGTTAATAAATTGGTAGAGCATCCAACGAGTTTGCTTATAAACATGGTTTATAACCATCCATAAGGCATTTTACTAATGTACTTAAAACATCTATAACACAAGCTACTCATGCCTGTAACATACGTAATAAATAATTAATAGATGTTACAAATCTCTGTAAATGGAAACGTAATATAAAGCGTTGCTAATAAATACATGCATTGGTTCTTTTACATTTATTGAAGGTGCTTACTATAGCCTCATCAATGTTATTAGCATCCTCATTTCTGCCATTCTGTAATGCCAACACAAATGAATCGTCAGTAATAGTTCTCTCCGTTTCTGTCTGAGCTGACTCTTGCAGGTAACTTGACTCTTCTCTTATCAACATCTCTATATTAACAAGAAAACAAAGTTTAAAATGAAGTTACATTGACTCTCAAAAATCAACCCCCATTAACACCTAACGATCATGGAGGATAGGAATCAAAATGAGTGCTGAGCAGGAGCTGCATACCCAATGGTACTTAGGGACAAAAAACTAGTGGAAGAATTTTCTTGGAAGCATTTAAAGACCGACCTTTCACTTGCAGGAAAACTGTGCAAACTTTACAAAAGAAATGACTGGTTAAGAAGCAGACTTATTTACCATGGAATAAACACTGTTTTCCACTGCAAGTATAATTCTCTCAACACATCCTACAGTGAAATTCAGCAAGTGACAATATCACATTCTACTCAATGTGAAGTATAATGCTAGTAGTCACATTCTCAAATTAATAAAGGAGGAGGAGTAAATAAGAAAAGGGACCAATTCCAGCACTGGAATAAAAGGTGCAATTTCTATTGTTTTCTCTGCACTCATTTATGCCAGGGCTGAAATTGATCTAAGTGATACTAGTGCCAAAAAGAGGCGGAATGGCTGTATGTGCTGAGAAAGCTAGTCTGTGGTCTGTAACACTTTTGTCCACACTTCCTTTTGCTTGTTTGGTTACCATGGGTAGGTAGACTTAGCAAGCAGCCGTCATGCAGAGGTGGATTAATGTGTACGTGATACAGGCTGGGTATGACGTGCTGTTTATTCACTACCATTGGGCAAACATTAAAGTATGCCTATACATTTTTATAATTATGGCATGAGGCTGCTCAAAATGAACTGGGTGAATCTGGGTCTGAAAATCTTTTTTAAAAGAGACTGAGTACACTGCTAAGTACTGAGGAAGAATAATTGTGGATATAGAGGTATCCTAATCTATTCCTCTAACTGACTTCTTGACAACATTACAGATTGTTTTCTCTAGATGAATTGAGAACCAAAAATGGGTGGAACACCTGTAATCAAGCGTTTCCGGAAGAAACATGTCTCTTTCTGGATGTTCTGCAAAGTCTCAGTCATCCAGAATAGAATACACCTAAATAGCTGTTTTGGGACAGTGGGCTATTATTGATCAATCTCAGAATAAAATGAAAGCCTTCTTTGGTTTCAGTGGTGTCCTAGATAAAGAGACCCTCACAAACCTAACATACCACAGGGAGAAAAGGAAATGTGCTAACAAATGTACTATGCCTCTTATTCTTAAGCATTTTTTAAACAGGACGTTGAAGTATTTACAAAAGCAAAATATGTATTTCTTCTTTATAACTAATTAGGGCTGTCAAGCAATTAAAAAAATAATTGCAATTAATCACACTGTTAAACAATAATAGAATACCATTTATGT